GTACCTGTCATGCACACTTTGAAAGGTGACTAGGTGTGGCAAAATGGTAAATATGTCAATACTCACACACATTCCTATCTTCTAGCACTTAAATTTGAATTCTATGCATGTAAGGTAAAACGTGCCTTATGCATATGCATTTTAAACATTTTTGCGTTTGTATTTGTTATACAGTTGTGTTCGTTTTTTTGTTTTGGTAATGTTATACTTTTGCAAACCAGTTTGGCGCATGTGTAAGCCCTTAGGTAAAATAAACTTGTGGCCTTATAGTGCCCAATTTATTCAGTCAGCCTGAATACGTTGTCTATGTCGCTAAGCTGTACCTAGTCCTCTCTGATTATCATTGCTAGGCAGATTTGTATGGATAATATGGACTTGTTCTCCTTGGCACCCATAGCTTAGACCACGGGTAAGCAATCTTGAACATCTCCCCTGATGCTTTGCCAGCATTATGACTGTAAAAGCATTTCGGAAGAAGTTGTCCACAACATATGGAGTGCTGAAGGTTGCCTACCACAGGTCTCTGCATTATTTCTGCATTATTTCTGCATTTGTAGTGAGGCTAGGCTATGGTTACCGGGGGGAGCACCATATTTTGCAAAGTAAGTAAAAAAAAAGTTTCACCATAAATGAAAATGAGCTGTGGTGGTTGCAGTGTTTAGAGTGTCACTTTAAACTAATTTTACAAACACAAATTTATCAATATACCCTCTAAACAAATTCAAAAACATAAAAATAAAACCAACCTGATTTAACAGGAAAGTCAGTAAGAAAACTGTTGTGCTAAATACAAAATTAATGGAACACTATGTTCCATTAAGGGAAGAAAGTATTTGATCCCCTCCTGATTTTGAACGTTTGTCCACTGACAAAGAAATGATCAGTCTATAATTTTAATAGTAAGGGAAGAAAGTATTTGATCCCCTTCTGATTTTGAACGTTTGTCCACTGACAAAGAAATGATCAGTCTATAATTTTAATAGTAGGTTTATTTTAACAGTGAGAGACAGAATAACCCCCCCCCCCAAAAAAAAATCCAGAAAACAACGCATGTTAAAAGAGTTATAAATTGATTTGCATGTCAATGAGTGAAATAAGTATTTGACCCCTTCGACTTAGTACTTGGTAGCAAAACCCTTGTTGGCAATCACAGAGGTCAGATGTTTCTTGTAGTTGGCCATCAGGTTTGCACACATCTCAGGAGGCATTTTGTCCCACTCTTCTTTGCAGATTCTCTCCAAGTCTTTAAGGTTTCGAGGCTGACGTTTGGCAACTTGAACCTTCAGCCTCCGATGTGGCTCTGTGGGTGGCTCATTATGCGTGAGCAATAGGACCCTTTGCGTCCCCCAGCAGTAGGGTATGCCCGCTGCTCTCAGGTGACTTGGGAGCGTGGTATCGTGCTCACCCTCTGCCTGCTGTGCCGGTGAGTGTACTTGAGGTGAAGGCCTCATCGAACTGGTTAAAGCCTCCACGGTGTCCATCTTGGGTGGTGCTTGTCTCTGTAACAGCACTTCGATATCCGGCTGTTCAGTTGATGAATCCGACTGCAACTTTTGTGTGTGGCACCATATTGCTGTGGAGGTGTCCAAGTGTTGTCCCCCTCAGTGTCAGGGTTGTCGTACTCCGAGGAGGGTCTCCAGGTTGTGGATGACTGGCGGGAGATAGGCCTCTTGCGTTTAGCCTTTCTGGATCTTGGAGGTTGAAAGAAAGGCATCTATCTGCTCCTTTTGATGCCCCGGTCAGTTTACGTGCCGAGTCTGTAGATAAGTTACGAGATATTTGTGGATTGTGTGTAATGAGGATGGGAGCCGACATAGATGCCGTCTGTTCACCTTCGGTCCCAAGCCCCCCCCCTCTAAACAGCTCGATTTTGGTCTCATTTGACCACAACACTTTCAACGAGTTCTCCTCTGTATTATTCAGATGTTCATTGGCAAACTTCAGATGGGCCTGTACATATGCTTTCTTGAGCAGGGGGAGCTTGCGGGCGCTGCATGAGTTCAGTCCTTCACAGAGTAGTGTGTTACCAATTGTTTTCTTGGTGACTATGGTCCCAGCTGCCTTGAGGTCATTAACAAGATCCTCCCGTGTAGTTCTGGGCTGATTCCTCACTGTTCTCATGATCATTAAAACTCTTTGAGGTGAGATCTTGCATGGAGCACCAGACTGAGGGAGACTGACAGTTATTTTGTGTTTCTTCCATTTGCGAATAATCGCACCAACTGTTGTCACCCTCTTACCACGCTGCTTGGCGATGGTCTTGTAGCCCATTCCATCCATGTGTAGGCCTACAATCTTGTCCCTGACATACTTGGACAGCTCTTTGGTCTTG